CAGCCCGCTCAGAGATGTGTATAAGAGACAGGTTCAAATTTCTCAGTTCGAGTTTCGAGAAATTGGCATCTTATCTCGAGAAAGATAAACTACGGATAATACAACGCGAATTTTGTACTCTACCAGCGGAACATTTCGAGCTCCTCACTAGAAAAGGCATATTTCCGTACGAGTACGTCGACCGCTTCGAAAAGTTGGAGGATACGCATTTACCGCCGCGCAAATCATTTCACAGTTCGCTGACGGGCGACACCGTGTCCGAGAGCGATTACGAGCACGCCGTTGATATGCGGCAGCGGTTCTCCATCGGAACACTCGGCGAGTACAGCGATCTGTACCTGAAAACGGACGTCCTGTTGCTCGCGGACGTTTTTGAAAATTTTCGCGACAGCTGCTTCGCGAGTTACGGACTCGATCCCACCCATTATTTCACGTTGCCAGGTTTCACGTAGGATGCTATGCTGAAACACATGCGTGTAAATTTCTGCTCACCGACATCGATATGGTCTTGTTTATTGAGCGCGGTATACGTGATGGCCTCAGTCAATGTTCTAACAGATACGCGCTGGCCAACAATAAATACATGTCTTCGTATGACCCGTCGAAACCGTCGTCGTACCTAATGTACTACGACGTGAACAATTTGTACGGCTGGGCGATGTGTCAGCCGTTGCCTTACGCCGACTTTCGATGGGTCGACAACGTCGAGAACTTTGACTGGAGCGCGATCGCTTCGGATTCGCTCACGGGGTATATTCTAGAGGTTGATCTAAAGTATCCTCAATATCTACACGACCAGCACACTGACCTACCTTTCTGCCCAACGTGCGATAAGCCGCCCGGCACGCGGCACGATAAGCTCCTCACGACGCTCAGCGATAAGAAGCGTTACGTCATCCACTACCGCAGCAATGCACTCGCCACGGCCTTCGCGTAACGAAGATTCACCGCGTGTTGCAATTCGCGCAATCTCCATGGCTTCGCGAGTACATTGAACTAAATACGAAATTCAAAACCGAGGCTAGGAACGATTTCGAAAAAAATCTGTACAAACTAATGAACATGGTATTCGGTAAAACCATGGAGAACGTGCGCAAGCACGTCGACGTGAGACTGGCGACAACATGAGAGGGTCGACACGGCGCGGAGGCGCTGATCGCGAAACCAAATTTTCACAGCCGCAGCGTTTTCGCGGAAAATTTAATCGCCGTCGAACTGCGTAAACTCAAGATATGATTCTACAAGCCGATTTACGTGGGTATGTGTATACTCGACGTATCGAAAGTCTGCCTGTACGAATTTCACCACGAGTACATGTTGCCGCTGTACCGCGACAAGTGCAAGGTCATGTATACCGACACGGACAGTCTCATATACCATCTCGAGTGCGAGGATGTTTACGAGACGATGAAACGTGATACCGCTCGATTCGACACGAGCGATTATCCCATGGACAACGCGTACGGTACGCCTCGCGCGAATAAAAAAGTGCCGGGTTTGATGAAGGACGAGAACAATGGCGCGATAATGGCGGAATTCGTCGGGTTCAGGGCGAAGATGTACGCGATGAGGGTGGACGATAGGAGGGACACCAAAAAGATCAAGGGGGTCAAGAGTAACGTCGTAGCGCGGACGATAACGTTCAACGATTACACGCGATGCCTGAACGAACATATCGAAATGACTCGTAGTCAGTCGTGTATACGACTGCTCGAGGCTGCACGAAGTATACACGTGTCCGAATCGAAAATTGCTCTGAATCCGTACGACGACAAACGATACATTGTACCGAATTCGACGGAGACACTACCGTGGGGACATTGTCGGATACCGGTGTAATGTATACATATGTGTATATATTATATATATGTGTGTATGCATCGAATGATACACGTATGTATGCACGGCGTATGCATCGAATGATACGCGTATGCGTGCGGCGTATGCATTAAATGCTACAAGTATGTATGTGTGCCGTATGCATCGAATGATACGCGTAAGCGTGCGGCGTATCACAGTGTTATAAGTATACGTATT